CTGAAGGGTCCCGGGTTCAATTCCAGTCAAGGGCACATGCCCAGGCTTTGGGCTTGATCCCCAGTAGGGGACATGTAAGAGGCAGCCAATCAATGATTCTCTCTCATCATTGATGTTTCTATCTCTCTCTCCCTCTCCCTTTCTCTGTGAAATCCACTAGAATGCCACCTGTTGAAAAAATGCTCAATTCCACAAAAGAGAAGGACCATATCATTCAACATATTTATACATCAAATAATTCAGAACAGCCCAGCTGGTGTAGCTCAGTGGTTGTGCATCGACCTACGAACCAAGAGGTCATACAGCAGTGCCTGGCATATAAGCGTTCAATAACGATTAGTTGTAATTTTATAATCCCTGTTTATGGGGCACATGTTACAAGCTCAGCACCTTTACGCCTCGCTTCACAGCCCTACGAATCTGAGATCATGAAACCCATTTTTCAGAGGAGGCAACTTAGAGCCAGAGAGGCAGGGTAACTTGTCCAAGGGTCACACAGCTAGCAGGGGGCTGGGCTGGGGCTTCAACCCATTTGTGTCAGCCTCCGCAGACAGCGTTCTTAACCATTACCAACTTCTATTCGTCAAATACACCACGCTCACTCTGGGCACAGAGCCCTTGTACCGGCTGAGGCCTCTGTTTGGAACATCTGAGTTCTTCCTAATTGTTCAATTCACAGTCCACATGCCCCCTCCTCAGAGAAATCATTATTCCCTTTGGATGAGCCTAGGACAGTGGTCGGCAAACTGCGGCTCGCGAGCCACATGCGGCTCTTTGGCCCCTTGAGTGTGGCCCTTCCACAAAATACCACGTGTGGGCGCGCATGTACAGTGCGACTGAAACTTCGTGGCCCATGCACAGAAGTCGGTATTTTGTGGAAGAGCCACACTCAAGGGGCCAAAGAGCCGCATGTGGCTCGAGAGCCGCAGTTTGCCAACCACTGGCCTAGGATACTGTACTCCCAGCTTTTACCACTAGCTGAAATTATCTTGTTTATTTAATCACTGGCTAATGTGCTATCGTGTGTCCCCCACCCCAGCTTTAAAAGGTTAGCTCCGTGAACCAGCTTGCAAATAGAAGAGAATCTGACATATGGAAGGCACCCAGCAAACATTTGCTGTTTCAGTGAATCATACAAGGTCCTTTCAGTGAACCTGCCTTCCGCTGCTCCCTCCGCCTCCAGATCATCCTGACCCCTCAAGCCTGAGGGGCCTGGGAAGCCCCGTCTTCAGTACAAAGACGCTTCCATGTGCTGTGGTCCCACCCCAGAAGGACCTCTGTCCCCTCCTGACTGGGGGATGGGATGTGAAGGAGGGGGTGCGGGGAGGGGAGGGATTAAAGCAAGAGGATACACCCAGTCCAGCTTGAGTCTGCAGGAAGGCAGCTCGGAGCGCGTGTCCAGGCTGTAGGTGGGCACCAGCTCATCCGGGATCAGCATGGGCACAGGACGGCCCCTCAGGAACATCTTCACGGAGCCCTCCTCTGCCAGGACACCCCGAGAGGTCAGGTGCTAGCACCAGCCCCCACCCCTATTTGCTCTCCCCTTCAGGCTTCACTTAAAAAAAAAAATAGGTGGGGAAACTGAGGCCAGAGAAGCAAAAGCCTAGTAGCCAGGTCCCCAGACCTCCACCTTCGGGTGTCTCTCCCGAGCAAGCCCCCAACCAAGCCCCGCCCCCTCTGCTCACTTACCCACGCTGAAGATAGCTTCTTTGGTTTTGCTGTCAGGACAGAACAAGAAGGGGAAAAATGTTATCCTTTTTATTAGGGAGCAGTTCAGAAAAGGAGAGACACCGCTGTTTCGCCCCACCGCACCCGGGAGGCCTCTGATGATTAAAGGACCGGGGGCCGCGACAGGAGCAGAGCGCTGCCTCTCTGCAGGCCGTGTGCTTTGCTCGGTTGATCTTGCAGAGCCTAAGACACAGGCCCAGAGAGGCAGTGATCGCCAAAGATCACACAGCACGAAGCAGCAGGCACGCGATCCTGGAAGAGGGGAGTCGCCGGGGACCCCTCCCTCCTAAACAGCACGCTCTCCCAACGCTCCCCACCCCCACTCCCACAGCGCCCCAAACTTCCAGCAGCAAGGAAAGCGGTGAAGGTTTCAGGGGAGGGGCGTGTCTCCACGTTCCCTCCGTCGGCGGGAAGGAGTGATGCTCGCGGGCCTGGGTCCCTGGCGAGGGGGACGCCTGGGACTCGGGCCCCGGGAGCGCAGAGAGGAGGGGGTCTGCGAGGGTCTCACCAAGCTCCAAAGCTACTCATGGCGGCGGCTGGCGGAGCTCCGG